CTGAGGCTAGAGGATCATTTGAGGCCAGGAATTTGAGGCCAGTCTGGGCAACACAGCAAGACCCCATCTCTTAAAAAGAAATAAAATTAGCTGGGTGTGGTGGTGTGTGTCTGTCGTCCCAGCTACTCAGGAGGCTGGGGTGAGAAGATATGAGAGCCCAGAAGTTCAAGGCTGCAATGAGCTATGATCACCCACTCACTCATTCATTCACTCAGCACTATTTCCATTAAATATTCAAAATTTGCCTGGTTAAAACAATCATGAGGTATGTGTTAAATTACATACTTCTGGGTCACATAACTAACACTAATGACTCAATTTTATGGGAGGAGGCTGAGATTCTGCAGTTTTACCAACTGCCTGAGATAACTACTACAAAACTTCATTCATTCAACCATTCTTCTGTTGAAATACCTGAGTGATTAATAAAGTCCCAGTCATTTCTCTATGTGCTAGGGATGGAACAAGAAATAAGAAAAACTTCCTTTTGTCATGCAGATATGGGAACATCAATAAGAAAATAAAATTAATGATCAAGTTAATTTCAGCTTATAGTGTTATAAAGAAAATAAAGAAGGGTAATTATAGAGGCTATTTTTGGTTGGGTGGAATGTGAAGATCTTTCTGAGGAGGTAACCCTCATAAGGTCTCAACTGGCACGAAAAGGGACCAGACATATAAGGATCCTGAAAAGACTGATCAGGGCAGAGGCATAGCTGTGAAAAGACACTAAGATGGGAATAAACTTGGTATATTTAGGAAATATTAATGTAGCTAAAGCATAGTAAGTGTTGTTTTTTTTTTTTTAAAGGGGGCAAATTTGGTAGGTGTTACATCTTGTAGTCTTACACATTATAGTAAGGATGTGAATTTTACTCTGAAGATGATGTAAAATGATTGAAAAGTTAGCATTCTTTTTGAAGCATTATTATTATTATTATTATTTTGACATCCAAGCTGTAGTGCAGCGGTGCAATCATGGCTCACTACAGCCTCAACCTCCTAGGCTCAAGTGATCTTCCCACCTCAGCCTCTTAGTAGCTGGGGTCACAGGCATGTGCCACTACACCCAGTTAATTTTTTAATTTTTTTGTGGAGACAGGATCTCCCTATGTTGCTCATGCTGGTCTCGGCCTCATACTCCTGGGCTCAAGTGATCGTCCTGGCTCAGCCTCCCAGGACTAGGATTACAGGTGTGAGCCACCATACCTGGCCAGCATAATTTTTTTTTTAAATGCAGGCTGCTGGTTTGAGAATAGATTGTAGGGGAGACAAAGAATAGAAATGTGGAAACCAATTAGAAGTTTACTAAAGAAATCACAGAAAGACATAATAATGACTGTAGTGAAGTTGATGGAGGTAGACAGGTTGATATCTTCTGGAAAGAGAGCTCACGGACTCATCTTCAAATGTTATGTTCATGTTACTTTTTTTTTTTTCTTCAGAGTTTTGCTCTGTCGCCCAGGCTAGAGTGCAGTGGCAGAATCTTGGCTCACTGCAAACTCCACCTCCTGGGTTCAAGCGATTCTCCTGGCTCAGCTTCCCAAGTAGCTGGGATTACAGGTGCCCGCCACCATGCCTGGATAATTTTTGTATTTTTAGTAGAGATGGGGTTTCACCATCTTGGCCAGGCTGGTCTTGAACTCCTGACCTCATGATCCACCTGCCTCAGCCTCCCGAAGTACTGGGATTATAGGCGTGAGCCACGGCACCCAGCCCATGTTACTTTCAAATCTGTAGTTCTTTCATTCATGTATTCAGTAAGTATTTTCTTAGCATCTTCTACATGTGAAACATTTTTCTAATTACTAGAAATGTAGTAACAAAATCCCTGCCAACAAGGACTTTACATTTTAGTGGAGAAAAGACCAACAACAAGTAATCTATGTCAAGACAAGTAAGTTATAAAACAAACAAAAAAGCTGAGTAAGAGAATACAGAGGACTAGTGGGAGAGTGGTTTGTGTGCACATTTAGATACTCAGTCTGAAAAGGCCTCTCAGATAATGTGACATTTGAGCAGAAAACTGAAGTAAGATATCTAACATACAAATATCTACAGGAAGAACAGTTAGTGCAAAGCAAAGCAGGTGTGTGTTGACATGTTTGATGAACAGCAGCAAGGAGACCAGATTATCAGACAGAATAAGCAAGTTAAAAATGACAGGGTATGGAATAAGAGATGGATACAGACGTTGGAGAACGAAACACAGATCATGTGAGGCCTTGTAGGATATAATCAGGACTTTCATTTTTACTATGAGATAAGAAGCCATTGAAAGGTTTTGATTTCTGTTTTAACATGATCCCAACAGCTATAATCTAGATTGAATAGATTGCAGGAAGCAAGATAAGAAACAGAGAAAAGTCAAGAGGCTTTTACAATGGTCCAAGAAAAGATAACGGTAGTATGGATCAGATCAGAAGTACTGGAGGTAATGAGAAGTGGTCAGATGTTGGGTACGTTGACTAGCCTAGGTATGCTTCAAAAGAGGGATCGACCAGATTGGCATGCTGATGACTGGCTATAGGGCAGTAGAGAAAGAAAAGGGTCAAAGGTATTTCCACAGCAATTAGATGAACAGGGATGTCATTTACTGAATTGTAGGAGACTGACAGAAGAGCAAGGAATCTAAATTAAAGGCACAGTGCTTATGATGGGTTTTTTTCCAAGCCAGCTTAGTAGGGAATCCTGTGTAATGAAAAACCAGTGGGATGGGTTTTTTAATTAGGTGTGAGGTCTCCATGTACCCACCAAAACACTAGTAAGTAGGAATTCATTTAAAGAGGTGCAAGTAATCCAAACGTTCATTGATGGATGAAAAAACAAAACATGCTATATATATACAATGGAATATTATTCAGCCTTTCAAAAGGAAGGAAATTCAGACACATGCTACAACATGGAGGAATCTTGAGAGCAATACACTAAATGAAATAAGTTAATCATACAAAGGCAAATACCATACGGTTTCACTTGTATTAGTTATCTAAAGTAGTCAAATTAATAGAAACAGAAAACAGAATGGTGGTTAACAGGAAGTGGCAGGGAGTGGAAAACGGAGAGTTGTTCATTAGGTATAGAATTTCAGTTTTGCAAAATGAAAAAGTTCTGGAGATCTGCACAACAATGCTCAACACTATTGAACTACATATTTAAAAATGATTAAGATGCTGAGTTTTGTGCTTTTTTTTTTTTTTTTTTTTTGAGACGGTCTTGCTGTGATGCCCAGGCTGAAGTGTGGTGGCATGATCTCAGCTCAATGCAACCTCTGCCTCCTGGGTTCAATAGCGTCTCCCACCTCAGCGTCCCAAGTAGCTGGGATTACAGGCGCTTGCCACATGCCCAACTAATTTTTTTGTATTTTTAGTAGAAATGGGGTTTCACCATATTGTCCAGACTGGTCTCAAACTCCTGATCTCAAGTGATCTGCCCACCTCGGCCTCCCAAAGTGCTGGGATTACAGGCATGAGTCACTGTGCCCGGCCTTAAACTATTTTTTAAGCCACAATTTAAAAAAATGTATTTGACTCCTTAGGCGTTTGACAAATATATTATGGTCTTCATTAATAGCATTCATAAGTCTAAAATGAGAGCACTATTTTCCATTTTTAAAATTTCCCTATGTGCATTAATTCTCCAGCAACCTTATCTCCTAATTCAGAAGATAATATGTGCTCACACTGTGCTTCAGCAGAGGACAAATCATAAAGCTTAAATATGGTGACGCCTAGTGCGGCTACAGAAATTATTTGTAACAATTTGCTTGAAAAAAGACAATGAGGAAGCAAAACAAAGCAAATGTCAAAGCAAGATACTTGTTTTTTGAAAATCTTGAGTTCTGATATGGCTTTAAGGACATAGCAATGAGGTAAAACAGGGAAATGAGTAAAATGTAGTAAAACTAATTCTATCCATTGCTGTCAGGACTGATAGTTTTTTATTTTATTTATTTATTTTTTGAGGGTCTCACTCTTTTGCTCAGGCTGGAGTGCAGTGGCACAATCTTGGATCACTGCAATCTCTGCCTCCCTGGTTCAAGCGATTCTCTCTGGCTTCAGCCTCCCCACTACCAGGAATTACAGGTGCCCACCACCACGCCCAACTAATTTTTGTATTTTTTTTTTTGAGACTTAGTTTTGCTCGTTTCCCAGGCTGGAGTGCAATAGTGCGATCTTGTCTCACTGCAAGTCCGCCTCCCAGGTTCAAGCAATTCTCCTCCCCTTCAGCCTCCTGAGTAGCTGGGACTACAGGCGCCTACCACCACGCTCAGCTAATTTTAGTAGAGATGGGGTTTCACCATGTTGGCCAGACTGGTCTTGAACTCGTGACCTCAGGTGATCTACCCACCTCAGCCTCCCAAAGTGCTGGGATTACAGGTGTGAGCCACTGTGCCTGGCCTATTTTATTTTTTTGAGACAGAGTCTCACTCTATGGGCCAGGCAGGCATGTAATGGCACAGTCTCAGCTCACTGCAGCCTCAACCTCCTTGGCCCAAGGAATCCTCTGGCCTCAGCCTCCCCAGTGTCTGGGAGTACAGGCACGTACTGTCACATCCTGCTAATTAAATTTTTTTTTGTAGAGACAAGGTCTCCCTATGTTGCTCAGGCTGGCTACAAACTCCTGGGCTCAGGCGATCCTCCTGCCTCGCCTCCAAAGTGTTGGAATTAGAGGTGTGAGCCACTATGCCCGGCCTGGACTAATAGGTAATTTTAAAAAAGCTGGTTGAAATAGAGAATCACATACACACAAAAGCTCATACATTAATATTTCAACTTAAAGTATATTAACTTATACTTTAAGTATTTTAATTAACCAATCATTTTATAAAAGCAATACAACCATACAGATTTAAGTATATTAATTCACCAATCATTTCATAAAAGCATGCAGATTGAATTTATTCACTTTCTTTCTTGTGTAAATTACACTCATAAGATGTAAGTCTGTGATTTCCACCTTTGGTTTAAAGACACTTGTGAAGCAGTATCTATACTCTTTTCAAAGCTTTGTCATTCCCAGAGCCCCCCACCCCCAACTCTTTTACAGGTCTCTTGTCCACTGCTAATTTAAATACCCTTTTTACCCCCCAAGACAGTCTTGCTCTGTCACCCAGTCTGGAGTGCAGTGGCGTGATCCTGGCTCACTGTAACTTCCGCCTCCTGGGTTCAAGCAATTTTCCTGCCTCAGCCTCCCACATAGCTGGGATTACAGGCACGTGACACCACGCCTGGCTAATTTTTATATTCTTAATAGAAACAGCGTTTCACCATGTTGGCCAGGCTGGTCTCGAACTTTTGATCTCATGATCCACCTGCCTCGGCCTCCCAAAGTGCTGGGATTACAGGCATGAGCCACTGCACCTGGCCCTAAATACTTTTTTCTTAAGGGTCTTGTTCTGTTGCTCATGACGGAGTTCAATGACACAATCTTAGGTTACTGTAATCTTTAACTCCTGGGCTCAATCTTCCCACCTCAAAATCCTGCATAGCTAGGAGTTACTAGCGTGCATCACTGTATCTGGCTAATTTATTTGGTGGAGACAAAATATATTGCCCAGGCTGGTCTCTAACTTATGGCCTCAAACTATCCTTTTGCTTCACCTCCCAAAGTGCTGGGATTACGGGTGTGAGCCACCACGCCCAGCCTTAAATAAGTGTTTAATGGCTTGGTAAATAAACCACTTTAGTTTTTATAGACACAACTTTACTTTCCCCTTTTCATATTACTCTACTGTCCCTATTCATATTACATCAATTTGTGTAACATTTAAATTATGGGTTTATAATAAATACAAGTGGCATGAATAGTTTTGGGACCAATAAAAATCTCCTGATACACAGAACGACAATAGCGTTATCAACCGCACTTATTAGGGTTCGTATGTGATAGACACCTAAATGTTTTACATGAATTATCTCATTTACAGCAGTATCATCCCATGCTGTAAGTACTATCATGACTGTTCTATTTTAGAGGTAAGGCAAAGGGAATCTCCAGGGTGATGGTGAAGAGAGAGCCCAGTAGGACAGCTGTGCAACTATCCCAGAGAGCAGACATGAGGTAGATTGAAAAGACAACACAGGATTGGGAAGCAGGTAAAGCTCAGGTGAGATTCTAGCTCTACCATATGCTATTCCTGTAACTCTGGGAAAATGAGTCAATACTTTTTAGTCTTAATTTACTATCTATGCAATAGGAATAATATTGCATCACAGAAAATTGAGGTAAGTCACAGAATGATTATCAAGAGACATAATAACAATTATATGCCACATGTAGTCATGGTGACAAATTAGAATTTAGGTAGCTGGGCATATTTCTTGGAACTCTAAACTTTAAACATTTTATAGTACAATAGTACTGAGGAAAATATCAAAGTAATGTGGTTTGAATTCTTGGTAGTGATACACACATTGGCTTATAATGATACAGTCATGTGATAATAATAGTTTGAATCACTAGTCATATCAAAAAAATTGATACATTTATAGTGTAGACCAAATATGCATTAACATACAGTTTGGAATTTTGTGATAAAATTAATTATAACAGTAATTGTTGAGGCCTGTCTGTACTACATTCCCAGGACAATTTTAATAATGACTCCAATTCAAATAAACAATAATTTAATTCCATAAGTTTTAAATATGACTAAAGCTATGTTGGATGCTGTGGGGAATAAGAGTGAGCATAAGATATTTCCTGACCTTAAGCAGCTTATAATCTAGTTGAAAAGTCAATTTCAACTTAAGAAACTAACAAAGAATGATGGTAATAATAGTATCTTACACACAGTAACATTTTACAGTTTTTAAAATATTTTCACATATTTCATTTGACTCTCATGATAAACCTGTGATACAGACAGGAAACATAAAAAGTTAAAGCAAGGTTAGGCTCAATGGTTCATCCAAGGCAAATTGAGTGTAAATTTCAAAGACTGGCTTAAATTTGGATTCTGATTTGTCTACTATATTATGCTGGTTGTTCATAAAATTTAGGTATAAGAATGAATATGGTAATATAGGTAACTTTTAATTATCCAGGGAAGATAATTATCTAAGGTAAAAGATCACACTAGGCATTTATAAAATAATTACAAATAGTAAAAGTAGGTATCTAGAGCATGGAAGTACACAGTGACCACAGACAGCCAAATCTACGTGTTGCTAATGCAGCAGAGTTCACAAACATTACCTACCCGGGTAAGACTGCCCCATGCCAGCCGGGCATGGTGGCTCACACCTGCAATCTCAGCACTTTGGGGGGCCAAGGCGGATCATGAAGTCAGGAGTTCAAGATCAGCCTACCAATATGGTGAAACCCTGTTTCTACTAAAAATATAAAAATTAGCTGGTCATGGTGGTGCATGCCTATAATCCCAGCTACTCAGGAGGCAGAGGCAGGAGAATCGCTTGAACCTATGTGGTGGAGGTTGCAATGAGCTGAGATCACACCACTGCACTCCAGCCTGGGTGAGAGTGAGACTCCATCTCAAAAAAAAAAAAAGGCTGCCTCATCCCTTTTTGCCAAGAATATGGCAGAACACACGGAGAGTCAAGGAAAGCTCATGTGATTATGGAATCCAACACAGAATCTGGACTGGAAGGACAGAGAAATTAAGAAGAAATAAAGAACACCCACCTAGAAAAGTAGATACGCTTCTATTTTGATATTTAAAAAAATATTTTAGTAACCAAGCTATTTTGCTTGTATTATTCGTATACTTTTGATTACTCTGTAAGAATCAAATTTTTGAAATTTTAACTGCAAATGTTTAAGTTCACTTTCTACTAAACATCTTGATAAGTTTTAACTGTGATTCTACCTTCTCCCCTCACCCTGCCATTAACCCAGCTAACTAAAAGTTGAAGCACTTTGCCAAATATAATTTTTTTAAATGTATGTGCTAGAATATTTTTAAAATCTCTTTAAACATTGCTAATCTTTTTTAACAGGCTTAGTCAGAGCCTAAGCTTGGCAACAGTATCTAAAAAGATTAGTATTGCTTATATTGTATCTATTTTTAATTTATACTTCTATTTATGGCAAGCATGCTGGTATTTCATTTCATGACATTACTTCTTAAAAGGGAAGCATAAAAGCAGTGACTCAATTTAAGAAAAAAATATTCAATGTAAAAATGATCTATAAAAATGGAAAGATTACAAAGGTAGTCTCTAACGGACGGAATTTAAGGAAAATTTTCTACTATTATCACATGAAAACTGCACAGCAACCATGTGAGGAAGAATTATTTCTACATTCATGAAGAAACTAGCTCAGAGAAAGCTGAAATGATTTGCTCAAGGTGGTGTAGCCAATAAAGCCAAGGGAACCATGGTCAAGCCAGGCCTCAGCCTTGGTCTTTGGATCATCTCACTGGCAGGAAGTAGTGTTAAGAGTCCAAAGGAGAAGTGCAACATTGATTAAAGCAGTGTGAACTTTAAGGATGATTTTTGAAAACCTTAAAAATCATGGAAGGCTCAAAATCACAGACAAGGAATAAATACAGCACATGTCTGGGAAGATTTGCTTGGAAAGATAGGGTCATCTTAGGAAAAGTCTTAGAAGGCAAATAGGGAAGTCTAAAGGAGATGGAAAACAACTGAAATTGTCTATGTAGAAGTTTAAAAATGAAAGAAGTATTTTAGGTAAGGAAACTTGAGTACAAAATGCTAAATGAAATAAATGCCAGATATATTAGAGACAGGCAGGCACATTCATTAATAAACTACTGCAGTCTGTCCATGTGCAAACATCTCTAAGGCTATCTCTAAGATAGCAGTAATAGTTACTATTATGGATTCAACCAAGACTCTGAATGGCTACTACAAAACATGATATCCATGTTTTGATACTATGGATATCAAAACAGCAACCCTCTGGTCTTAAGAAGTTCAGAGGGAAAAAATACACAACTATGAAGCAATACAATAATTATTACAGTGTAAGTACAAACACTGTGGGATCCAAGAAGGAAAGAACAAAAATAAAGCAGTGGTCAGGGATGTCGTCAAGGTGATAACTGAGCTAAATCGAAAAGGATGATTAGCTTATGAAAAAGTAGAACAATGGGTGGGGGAAAATGGAGGAGAGAGATTCTCGAGATAAAATATCAGAATTTAATATACCTAAAATAAAAAAGAATGCTGTCATTCACAGAGAAAGTGGGTACACAGAAGCAGTGAGCACATGTACTTACAACCTCTCATTCTTCCCCCTCCCCTCCTCAGTATCCATATTTAGTCACCAAATCCAGTTAACTGCGGCTTCAGTATGCTTCCACACCAGTCTATTCTACTGCACCACCATCATTTAGATTCTCATCCTTTTCAGCTTCAAATGCCACCAATTCTCCCATATTCAAACAATCCTACATCCATAATAATAATCTTAAAATTCTGCCTTTAGCAGTATCATCACTGCTTAAACAAAATAAATACTTTAAAAGCTTTTCAAGTGACACTTCCAGGAGACCTCAACCATTTTGTGAAGATCATTTTCACTTGTTTATTTGTAATCACATCATGTGTAGGATACAAATCTGAGTCTCTCAAAGCCTTTGGAGGGGAAGGGCTGCCTTTGTAGGCTCTACCTTCTTTCCTACTTTGAATTCTCAGGCTGACGGATAAAGGTGGGGATGGTAGTAGCAAAGGCTAATGGTGTAGACATTTATAAGTAGATTATGGTTTACTTATTTGGACCCACTGGCTTATAGGATGAACTTGAAAAACTTCAGCTTGGCATTCAAGCCCCTTTATAATTTAGTTTAACTTTTTTTTCAACTGTTGGGTATAAAAACTGCCATGTATTAATTAATCAACATATTAATTCAACAAATATTTACTAAGCATCTATAAATGTCAGATTATGTGCTAGGCACTGGAGATACACAAAGATGAACAGAGCATAGCAGCTACCCCTGAGGGGCTTACAGCACATAGGGTAAGACAAGTGATTGCACTGAGTGACTAAAGTACTATATTGGAGGTGTAGACAAAGAGTATGGTAGTGTGTGCATTCCATTACATTCCCTGGAGTGATCACAGGAACCATTATGGAGGAAGTGGTATTTGAGCTCAGTCTTAAAATGAAGATTGTTTGCTAGGTAACTGAAGAACACTCCAAGAGGATGGAATAAATGTGTTAAAGCAATAGAGACATTCAAGAACATTCATTATATCTGGTGTGCAGTTATCTATGAAAGAGTAATAAGGAAGCTATTAAGTTGGGATGTTCTAGATCAGGAAGGTGCCTGTATAACGTGCTAAGCAGTACAGATTTTAGTTTGTCAGCATGGGGAAACATTAGAGGGTTTTAAATGAGGGGGTAATAGAATGAGGTTTACATATGAGAAAAATTCCTCTGGTATTTACAGCAGTGGATACCTTTAGGAGGCTAGACAAAAAAATAACAATGGACTAGGATAGTAGCAGCAAAGATGGAGAGAATGGGACAAATTCGAGAATTACTTGGAAGACTAAATGAGCAAAAATCGGTGAGAAAGGCAAGGAAAGAGTGACAAAAAGATTCAATATTGTAATGTATCAAGGGGGAAGGAGTCCATAAAAAAGTAGAAATCACAAGTTGGGAAGCAAGAAAGGTTCCAGAGCACAGGTGTATGGATCAGTATTGAATGGCAACAAGGAAGGTGGTAAAGGATAGGTGTCAACACAGATGCCAGTAAGAACCTGTGAAGAATAATATTAGAAATACAGTTTACTCTGTGAAGTAGTTTTAGTTATATGAGAATGGAGGATTGGGGTCTTAATTAGGCATTTTGGCTCTGTAAGGAATGAGAAAGGAGGCTAACTAGAATCACATAGAATGTCTAAATAATGTTGGCAGTACAACATTGTTGGAAATGTTGTGTTGGAAATGAATTTATGGTGGTCTCAATTTTCATGGCTGTGAGATTCCCCTACCCTATTCCCCACAGCCTTAACACAGCTGCCAGAATTAAGAATGAAAGGAGGTGGGTGGGCGCAATGGCTCATGTCTGCAATCCCAGCACTTTGGGAGGCCGAGAGGATTGCTTGAGCCCAGACCAGCCTGGAAAACAGAAAACTCTGTCTCCACACAGACACACAGACACACACACACACACACAGGTTTTTAATTAGCCATAGTGGTGTGTACCTGGAGTCCCAGCTACTTGGGAGGCTGAGGCAGGGAAATCACTTGAACCCAGAAGGTGGAGGTTGCAGTGAGCCGAGATGTCGCCACTGCACTCCAGCCTGGTGAGAAACTGAGAAATTACCCAAAAAAAAAAAAAAAAAAAAAAAAAAATGGGAGGGGGAATCAGGAGGACTAAAAGACTACTGTAAACATTTCCAATATTTTAAGAGGCTATATTGATTTCATGTTACAGTCAAAGGTAATTTATGTAAACTGAATATAACATTACCTGAAGTTTTAAACCCAGACATTAAACTAGAACTATTAGTATATATACTGTATATTCAAATTTTTTAAAAACATTGTTTTTAGGATTTATGTGTATACACACATATTCTGAATCGTAAATGTGTCATGATCTTCAATAATTTAGAAGAATATAAATGGAATCATACAGCATATAAACTTTTGAGACTGCCTTTTTTTTTCATTTAGCCTAATGCCCTGGAGATTCAGACAAGCTTCTGTGCATTATCAATACTAGGTCTTTTTTTTTTTTTTTGAGACAGAGTCTTGCTCTTTCACCAGGCTACAGTGCAGTGGCGCAATCTCGGCTTACTGCAACCTCCGCCTCGGGGGTTCAAGCGATTCTTCTGCCTCAGCCTCCCAAGTAGCTGGTACCACAGGCGCGTCACGTCCAGCTAATTTTTGTATTTTTAGTACAGACGGGGTTTCACTATGTTGGCCAGGATGGTCTCAATCTCTTGACCTCAAGATCCGCCCGCCACGGCCTCCCAAAGTGCTGGGATTACAGGTGTTACCATGCCCGGCTAATACTAGGTCCTTTTTTTAAAAAAAAAAAAATACATCTTGGCCAGGCACAGTGGCTCATGCCTATAATCCCAGCACTTTGGGAGGCCAAGGCAGGTGGATCACCTGAGGTAAGGATTTTGAGACCAGCCTGACCAACAAGGTGAAATCCTGCCTCTATTACAAATATAAAAATGAGCCGGGCGTGGTAGTGCTTGCCTGTAATCCCAGCTACTCAGGAGGCCGAGACAGGAGAATTGCTTGTAACCGGGAGGCAGAGGTTGCAGTGAGCCAAGATCGCACCACTGCACTCCAGCCTGGGTGACAGAGCCAGACTCTGTTTCAAACAAAACAAAACAAAACAAAACATAAACTACAGACCTGCCATAGTTGGAATATGTCTTCCCAAAAAGCATGTTTTGAAAATTTAATCTCCAATGCAACATCATTGGGAGGTAGGGGACTAATTAAGAGGTAATTAGGCCATTAGGGCTCCACCTTCATCAATGGATTAATGTCATTAATTTCAGGAGTGTTTGTAACAAAATAGGGAGTTTGGTCCCCTTCTCTCTCTCTCTCTCACCCTCTCTGCCCTTGTGCCATGGGAAGATATAGCAAGAAGGCCTTCAGCAGATGCTGGCACCTTGGTCTTGGACTTTCCAGCCTCCAGAACCATGAGGCAGTAAGTTTCAATTCATTATAAATTACCCAGTCTATGGTATTCTGTCATAGCAGCATGAAACATACTAAGACAATACCATATAATTCACTCATTTAAAGTGTTCAGTTCAATGTTTCTTAACATAGTCTCACACTTTTATGTGGCTGTCACCACAATCTAACTTTATATTTTGGTCTCCCCATTAACAGAAACCCTCTACCCATCAGAGGTCAATCCCCATCTCATTCTCCCTGACCCTATCCAGACCAAATGACCATTAATCTAATTTCTGTCTCTAATATAATTTACCTATTTTGGACATTTCCTATACATGGAATCACACAATATGTGGGTTTTTATTTTTGTAACTAGATTCCTTAACTTGCATTTTTCAAGCTTCATACCTATTATAGCAGGAATCAGTACATATTTAATTATTTACGTATTTATTTATTTTTGAGATGGAGTTTTGCTCTTGCTGCCCAGGCTGGAATGCAATGGCGTGATCTCTGCTCATCGCAACCTCCACCTCCTGGGTTCACACGATTCTCCTGCGTCAGCCTCTTGACTAGCTGGAATTATAGGCATGCACCACCACACCGGCTAATTTTGTATTTTTAGTAGAGACAGGGTTTCCCCATGATGGTCAGGCTGGTCTCGAACTCCTGACTTCAGGTGATCCATCTGCCTTGGCCTCCCAAAGTGATGGGATTACAGGCATGAGCCACCATGCCCAGCCAATACTTTATTTTTTATTGACAAATAATATTCCATCATATGGCTATATCACATTGTATCATTCATTATCATTCACTTGTCAGCTGGAGAACCTTTGGGCTGTTTCTTCTTTATTAGCTATTATGTATAACGCTGCTGTGAACATTCCTGTACAAGTTTTTGTATGGAAATGTACTTAATTGCTGGGACATATGGTAATTCTGTTTAACTTTTTAAGAAACTGTCAAATTGTTT